AGGTCCAGCTCCGGCTCGCCGTTGAGCGCCTCGCCATCCTCGCTGCAGTCCGAGTCGAAGCCGCCGTGGAGTCGCGCCGCAGCCGCCGCGGCCCGGGCCGCCCCCGGAGAGCTGGGCTCGGGGGCGAACATCGAGGCCGGCACCGGCGACTCCACCGGGGAGCGACTCCGCTCCGCCGCCATCTTTAAGAACTTAGGCTAATTCGCCGCCGGCCGCCCGCCCCGCCCTCCCTGGCTTATTTAACTAATTTATGCTCGGCCCCGCCCCTCCGCGTTGGAATAATTTATGCGCGGCTTCTCCCGCCTCGCCAGGGTGACACGTATCTCCAGCAGGGACGCAAGCGACCCGGCCACTCAGCCACCAATCGCTGCAGCGCTCTTAAGTACCTTAGTGAATAATGAATGAGGCTCAAACCCCAACAACAACTGTCGGAGACGTCGGGAGCCGTGGTCCCACCTCGGGAGGGGCCAACAACGGAGAGCACGCTACCTGCCTGGAGCCTTCTCGCCAACCGGAGCAAAGCAGAGGTTTGACTGACTTGACAGCGATCCAATGAAAAGAGACAGCAATGCTTCTTTTTTTTTTTTCTTTTCCGTACCGCCCCCTCATTTTCCAGAGGTGGGGCCAGCTTCCAAATCACACTGCAAAACAGTCCCGCCTTGAGCCTCAAGATGATGGACAAGAGCCAGGCCCAATCCTGTCCTCCCTAGGTCCCGCGCTCCTGGCCACTGCTTACCCAGATAGTAAACTGCACCGCCTGGCACTCCAAATGACTAAAAGCAGTCGCTGGAATACGATGTCCGGCGGACTGGCATGCTTGAGGCAAATTTAATAGTAGAATCGATGCTATGTATTCCAAGAGTTGTAATATTATAGCAGCCAGACCAAGGCAATCAATTAAATACTGGCCGTAGGGAGCTCCATTCATTGACTCCTCGGAGATCAATTAAGTGAACAGAAAGGGGAGGGTGGCGGCCCAAATACCAGCGTAAAACACCTCACCACGTTTGCGGTGAATGCTGAGCCAAAGGTCTAGGATCTGTGAAGATAGTTTCCTATGGATTATTTTTTGAGTGTAGTCCCTTGTGGAAAGTCCCAGCCCAAAACGCTGTCCCTGTGCCTGAAGTTCCTGTTTCGAATGTCTGAAAAACCTTGACTTTGTTAGGTGAGTAGAGAAAAAATAGCAACAGTCTGAGAAAGTACGGAAGATTTAGGGCTCGGAACACAGAGTGTAGTTAGCAAGAGAAAGAGTTCAAAATAGCCATTGGGTAAATTTGGGGAGTCTGAGACAGCAGGCTTGTTCTCGTTTTCAACCAGATACCGCTAAAACTCTGTACAGACACTGCTGGAAGCCTGGTCATAGGTTTGTTGTTATTTTTATTTTATGGGTATGAATGTTTGCCTTTGCACCACCCATATGCAGTGCCTGTGGAGTCCAGGTGGGGTGCTGGAACCCTTTGAGACTAGAGTTACAGATGGTTGATAGCCTCCATTTGGGTGATGGGAATTGAACCCAGATCTTCTGGAAAAGCAGTCAATGATCTTAACCCCTGAGCCATCTCTCCAGAGTCTCAGGCAACCCAGGCTGGCTTTAAAAATCATTATGTCGATGAAGATGTCCTTGAATCCCTGATTTTCCTGTCTCCACCTCCTAGGTGCTGGGAAAGCAGGTGTGCCCCAACAGCAGTGCTGGAGGTGGAACCCCAGAGCTCAGTGGGCAATCACTTCACCAACTGAACTACATCTCCTGCCTGATAAGTTATTTTGTTTTTTATTTTTATTACTTTTTTTATTATCAGCTTGATACAGTACAAATTTGTATCCTAATAGTGAAATGTTTCACTGAAGCTTGCCCAGTGATTGAGTAAAACCAAAACTTATTATAAGCCACAGTCATCCCAGGGTCCCCCCTGCTATGTAGCCTCCCTGGTTCTGTGGGTTGCAGCCGGATTGTGCTTTGCTTTATATCTAGAATCCACTTATGAATGAGTACATACCATGTTTGTCCTTCTGAGTCTGGGTTACCTCACTCAGGATGATATTTTCTAGTTCCATCCATTTGCCTGCAAATTTCATGCTGTCATTGTTTTTCTCTGATGAGTAGTACTCCATTGTGTATATGTACCACATTTTCTTAATCCATTCTTCAGTTGACCGGCATCTAGGTTGTTTCCAGGTTCTGGCTATTACAAATAGTGCTGCTAAGAACATAGTTGAGCATGTAGCTTTGTGGTATGATTGAGCATCTCTTGGTGATATGCCCAAGAGTGGTATCATTGCGTCTTGAGGTAGATCGATTCCCAATTGTTTAGTAATTTGATGTCTAGTTTCTTGAGTTCTTTATATACTTTGGAGATCAGTCCTCTATCATATGTGGGGTTGGTGAAGGTCTTCTGTAGGCTGTCTTTTGGTCTTATTAACTGTGTCTTTTGCCCTACGAAAGCTTCTCAGTTTCAAGAGGTCCCATTTATTAATTGTTGTTCTCAGTGTCTGTGCTGCTGGTGTTATATTTAGGAAGTGATCTCCTGTGCCAGTGCATTCAAGAGTACTTCCTACTTTCTCTTCTATCAAGTTCAGTGTAACTGGATTTATGTTGAGGTCTTTGATCCACTTAGACTTGAGTTTTGTGCATGGTGATAGATATGGATCTATTTGTAATCTTTTACATGTTGACATCCAGTTATGCCAGCACCATTGGTTGAAGATACTTTCTTTTTTCCATTGTATAGTTTTGGCTTCTTTGTCAAAAATCACATGTTCATATATGTGTGGATTAATGTCAGGGTCTTCAATTCTATTCCATTAGTCTGTATGTCGGTTTTTATGCCAGTACCAAGCTATTTTTATTACTATAGCTCTATAGTAGAGCTTGAGGTCAGGGATAGTGATGCCTCCAGAGGTTGCTTTATTATACAGGATTCTTTTAACTATCCTGGGTTTTTTTTTTCCATATGAAGTTGAGTATTGTTCTTTCCAAGTCTGTGAAGAATTGTGTTGGGATTTTGGTGGGAATTGCGTTGAATCTGTAGAATGCTTTTGGTAAGATTGCCATTTTTACTATGCTAATCCTACCTATCCATGAGCATGGGAGATCCTTCCATTTTCTGATATCTTCTTTAATTTTTTTCTTTAGAGAAAGTTCTTATCAACCAGGTCCTTCACTTGTTTAGTTAGTGTTACCCCAAGGTATTGTGTATTATTTTTGGCTATGTTTCTCTGATTTCTTTCTCAACCCTTTTATCATTTCTGTATAGGAGAGCTACTGACTTTTTTTTTTTTTTTTTTTTTTTTTTTTTTTTTTTTTGTTTTTCGAGACAGGGTTTCTCTGTGTAGCTTTGCGCCTTTCCTGGAGCTCACTTGGTAGCCCAGGCTGGCCTCGAACTCACAGAGATCCGCCTGCCTCTGCCTCCCGAGTGCTGGGATTAAAGGCGTGCGCCACCAACGCCCGGCGCTACTGACTTTTTTGAGTTGATCTTGTATCCTGCCATTTTACTGAAGGAGTTCTGATAAGTTATTTTTTTTTAAGATTTACTTATTTTTTATGTATACAGAAGAGGATGCCAGATCTCATTACAGATGATTGTGAGCCACCATGTGGGTGCTGGGAATTGAACTCAGGACCTCTGGAAGAGCAGTCAGTGCTCTTAACCTCTGAGCCATCTCTCCAGCCCCTGATAAGTTATTTTGATGCCCCCCTTTTTTCCTGGGTAAATTGCTCATTACTCAGCCTATATACTCTTTTATATGACCCCATGATGTAGTTAAAATATTAAAATTTTGTCGGGCAGTGATGGTGCATGCTTTTAATCCTAGCACTCTGGAGGCAGAGGCAGGCAGATCTCTGTGAATTCAAAGCCAGCCTGGCCTACAGAATGAGTTCTAGGACAGCCAAGGCTACACAGAGAAACTCACTATCAAAAAATCTAAATAAATAAATAAATAAATAATAAATGAAATTTTGATTTCTTAGAAAACCCAGATATCAAGGCATTTTTTTCTTCACTAGCGATTGGGCAATATGAAAGGTATGGTAGGTCTTAGTCTATCTCCTATTAAACAGTTCCTTAAACTATTGGCATCTCCAGAGTGACATTTTCTTTCTGCATACCAGCAGGTCAGTTGGACAGAGAGTTTTCACAGACAGATTAAAATGAAAGATTTAAAAAGAGAGTTTAGTCCCATGACCCACTCTTTGGGGAAAGAAAAGACTGCAGCTTCAGTTAGTCACCCATGGCTAATGATTTCATCTATGATACTTATGTAATGAAACTTCCATAAAATCCCTCCCTGAAACATGGTGTGGTAGTTTGAATGTAATTGGCCCCATAATCTCATAAGGAGTGGCACTATTAGGAGGTATGACTTGGTCGGAGTGGGTATGGCCTTGTTGGAGGAAGTGTGTCACTGTGGGGGCGGGCTTTGAGGTTTCCTATGCTCAGGATACCACCCAGTGTCTCAGTTGACTTCCTGTTGCCTGCAAGATGTAGGATTCTCAGCTACTGCTCCCAGCACCATGTCTGCCTGCACACTGCCATGCTCCCCACCATGATTATAATGGACTGAACCTCTGAAACTGTAAGTGAGCCACCCCAATTAAATATTTTCCTCTTTAAGAGTTGCCATGGGGCTAGAGAGATGGCTTAGCGGTTAAGAGCACTGGCTGCTCTTCCAGAGGACCTGGGTTCACTTCCCAGCACCCAAATGGCAGCTCACAACTGTCTATAACTCCTGTTCCAGGGGATCTGACACTCTGGCACAGACATTTATGCAGGCAAAACACCAATGTACATAAAATAAAAATAAATAAATTATTAAAAAAAAAGATGACTTAAAAAAAGGGGTTGGGGATTTAGCTTAGTGGTAGAGTGCTTGCCTAGCAAGCTCAAGGCCCTGGGTTCGATCCTCAGCTCAAAAAAAAAAAAAAAAAGAGTTGCCATGGTTATGTTGTCTCTTCACAGCAATAGAAACCATAACTAAGACAGGGGGCTGGAGCGATGGTTCAGTGATTAAGAGTACTAGCTGCTGTTCCAGAGGGCAGGGGTTTGGTTCTCAGTACTCACCGGGTTGCTCACAACCATCTATAACTCCAGTTCTGGCATTCTAGGGCACCAGGCATCCCCGTGGCACAAAAACATACATGCAGGCAAAACACCCATACACAAAAATAAAATAAAATAAAAAT